ACGCCTATGGTCAATTCTATGACGATAGTAAACCATGTATGACCATGGTCAACCATTGCATGGTCACAAACCATGGCTAAAAGCATTGAAGAAAGTTCTCAATGGTTGGACAAGTATATACCTGTCTAACCTTAGCTGACATGTTGACCATCAAGTATCGTCACTTTTTGCGAGGGAGTAGCATCTATTTCAGAGATAATAATTTCCCAGCCCACCTAGCTGACTCGATATAACACTCACTGGTGTAACCATCCACATGTTTCTAGACCCTTAACTTTTCAATACATTTAATAGAAAGATTGATTTTTCCCCCACTGAACGATCTGTTGGCTATCACATAAGATTTCAGTTCAGAAACACTTCTTGTTTCATTAGATAAATGACACTTTCTGAAGTCTGATGAGAACTTTTTTAATCATAATTTCATCTTTTTGTTACAACAAACAAAACATATGCCAGGATTCATTATGAAAATTACTGTTCCATTGTGCTATAATGCTATCACATTAGGACCAATTTCAGCTATTTCATACAACATTGTTTCGTATTGTAATCACACAACACCTGAACACTGAATCCTTATCTTGTAAACCCCCCACAGAACAACACCATTTAAAAGTGGAGCATGTGCATGTTAGATTAAATTATGCATCGTTTCGTTTTCTCTACAAAAGTCTCCAGCCTTAATCACCACTAAATATAATGTTAACGCTTCGTTACATCATAGAAATATGATTTACAAATACTAATTAAGTCATAATTTTGTGTAAATTTGCCGCATCTGTAAAGTCCGAATAATATGCTTCCTCCTCATATTTCCAATGTGTACAATATTGTTTCCGCTCGAGGACGTTTAGAAACCAAGTTCAAAGTGCCAGAGGCAGATAATCAGAATAGATAATACAGCCATTTTCTTTTATGTTGGTCTAATGCTTTCATAATCAGCATTTTCAAACATTGCTAATTGTTCAAAATCAATTTGCATTGTATAAATGACACAAACTGCATGGTGAAAACTGACAATGTTAGCCGTTTGTCAGATGATCGGTAATCATTGCACCCACGGTTCGCATTAATCCTCTCCATGTGCAGCACATGGTGACAAATGAATTACGCTCAATCGGAAGTCAAACAGAAAATCAAATCAAAATAGGCGGATTGCTTTTGCAACGAAAACATCGAAGCAAATGAGAAAATCAGCATAATTTACTTAAGACCTATAATAACATGTCAGTTTTGTATAACATAGAACATTAATGATGATAAAAACCAGAATTGTAAGCCAAGTTATATCACCCCTCCCACACCAGCAATGTATATCATAAAAGGACATAACTCTTCAGAAATAAAAAACATTGACATAAACAAAAAAATTTCATTAAGACATGAATGAGCTGCTTCTATATATTTTATCAAGAATACCATCAAGTAATCATAAAGTTTGATATCATGTTGCTATGGAGTAAATAGAAACTACAAACTAAATCTGTCATTGAGAAGTTCCCAAGTTATGACTTGGATGGAAAAAAGAACATCAGCATCACACTACATGCCCCCCTACCCCTTAACACCTCCCATCCAATATATAGGTGAGGGCATAATTTACAGATGTTTTAACATTTGGCATCTACATGTAATTGAAACCTGTAATTTAGTTTGTTTACAAACAATCTGAATTATTGCCTACAGGTAAATGTAACCTTCTTTGTTTCTCCATGATCCATATGCTATACCTCCAAATTTTAAAAGCGACACCTGTCCCAGATGTACAATTTTACCTGAGGATAGAAATTATTCTCGATACGAAACCCTGATTAAAATAATGTAGTCTCCAGAAATGATTAATAAACAAAGACATTATTAGTGATTTCAATCTCTAATGACTTCGAGAACATGTTTATTTGTCTTACTGATAAAAGGAAACAAAAGAATAGAAATAAACACTAATTAAGTATAGGATTTCATTATCATTTAAGCAGTGACTGTGCAGGGTTTTATGAATCCTAGATTTTGACCTGTCTGTAAAGGGCACCCAAAGGAGAAAAACAAGTGGCCTTTATACAGAGGTAGCATTTAAAACTGGTTTGCCCCCCCTCTCCCCCCTTCTCTTTTCTTCCTCTCAGTAACTGCAAACAGGACCGATTCTTATTTTACTTGTGTTCTAATTAATTTTAATACAGCAATTTATTAATGCACCTAAAACACAGTAATATGAAATGTAGATTCATGAAAACAAGAAAAATCTGTTTTGATAGGACAAGTGAATAAATTACCTAGATAGGACATTATCCGATAAACCAGTTGTGGCCAGATCTCTGTAACAGATAACAATCTTTCAATCTGTCTTTTGGGAGTTGACAGTTGATGAAACAAAGAATATACCCCTTAATATGTATTAGACCCATCTGTTCACATTTAGTTTTCAACATCTGTACAAATCCTGCAAACTTTCCTTTCTCTGATTCGATCAGCTGATCTTCATACAAAAAACATTTCCTCTCCCCTTTACCCCACCCCTTAAAAAAGTCGATAACATCCTGTTATATTTTGGACAAAATCTTTGCTAACATCAAAATGAAGACATTTTCAGCAAGTCTTTGCCTTCTAAACCTTTAATAAAACCTTTAGTTGAGATTTTTTGTTTTGATTTCACAGAGATATCTTTCAGACCTTTTACAAATTTTTCATTGACATTACGGAAAGAAAATGATTTTTGTTCTATTTTGAGTTGATTTAACAAATACAGATATGTATCTCTCATACCCTATCAGTAGTTTTGTATTAAACATCACTTTCACCGAATAAAATAGCTATAAATCAAAAACAACATTTATAGGTTCTAGACAAAGGAAGGCATTGGGAAATATGCTTGATTACTTTTTCATTCAAGTTCAGAAAAGCTCTTGTAACCAGGGGTTTGAATACTAATGAGCAATTCAGTAAACGTGATGTACTAGGTATGAATTATCTATATAAGAGATCCATCTTGATGATAAATTTGTCGGAAATCAGTATTTCACAAGGAAATGAAAATAAATATGTAAATCATGTATTTTTTGTATATACTTAAGAAGTCTGAGTTTTTAATTCATCACCAACATCAAACTGGTTTTGACAGTTTGTTTCTGAAAGCTGGAAAAGGAACATATCTGAATGGAGATGATTGGTAAATCAAAACAGTCAAAAATAGTTTCATTATTTGTGACTATTGTTAACTTTGTTTTGATGCATTGGTCTATATTTTCTAGACTTTACAAAGCTGTTAATGCCTTCGAGTACTGAATATCATCTGGACTCCAGCTCAAAATGCTATTCACTATTGCCTATAGCTGCTGTCTCATTACAAAACATTGTTTAAATTGGTCGTAACATCTCCAACAATTTGAGTTGACCTTCGTTTGATGTTAAAACATTAAGTTAAGTCTATTTGAAATCATGATCACGATTAGGTTTGGCCAGATACTCAAAACCTCTGGAACCAGTTTATGAAATATTGAAAGGAAAAGAAACTTTTCCTGAGAACCTAACAGTATTTCGTTCCAATTCCATCAGAAATATTCCCGAATCTAAAATGTCTAATAATATAAGGTTTTCAATATAAATAACCATAAATAAAAATGATTCAAGATTTTGTACAGATTGAAACATGTAAATAGTAAATAACCTTTTCTGAATAATATCCCTTACTGCAACACATTTCCAAAACCCTACAGAAAATGCAAGCTAATCACAACGATAAAATTATTCAAAAAGTCTATAAAACTGTTTCCAGCGCTTAATCAAAATTCACTAATTAATTTCCATACCAAATATCTTTTTTAGAGGCCTGATAGAGATGTTTCTTTGCTTTTAAAGTAACCTGGAACCAGCAATTCTGGCTTCAAAGCCTGGATGCTCTCGATCAATATAACTTGCAATGTTTGAATACAGAGATATAAAATCCAAAAGCAAAGACTGGTGCCATCGAGCCGAATCCTTTGCTCCCAAGAGGGTTTCCAAGACGACCACAGTTTTACTAAATTTCTTGTTTGGAACTAAAAACTAATAAGGGTTTGGCTTTTTTGCGTTGTTTTTGCCTCTCTGATGTTTTGAGAAACAATTAAGATTTCAGACGGTGTGCCCTGAACATCTAGTAGAATAATCTACTCCTACAGTTGATGCCATTCTGAAGTCTAGCTCAGCCCATGTCAGTCCACAAACAAGGAATATGCAAAATACCAAAGGGACTAGTTACAGTTTGTATTTTCATCCTGCGATATTTCTCCCAAGAGCCCAATAGTTAGGTTCGTAACAGAACCATCTTGTTGAATTAAATAATTCAGGACTTGCGCTCGGAGTTGTGTAAGCTTTTTCCTTTGGTTATAGAATAGCACTGATGTTGTACAGATCAGAAGATTTCTTTGATAATAAACAACAGTTATGACGACAGGCGACAGCTAGATGGCGGTGATGGTATACAGTGCACCAATCAACACAAAGAACAACAACACAACGTGGGCTGATGAAATGTCCATTTCAACCATCTCTTGAAAGAACCCAGTGCTTCCTCAACAAATCTCTACTACATTCTTACATCATTCTTGTGTTGTTATATATACTTGTAGGGATTTGAGAATGATTTAGAAAAAATTATTTGTATCACAAAAATTGACTGTGAATACATATTTGTCATTATTGGTGTCCATTTATGCAGCTAGGTATACTGGAGATTTTCAAATAATTTTTGCATGATAGCAATGATCATTTTGCATACTTTTACAAATAGAGGGGATATACACACTAGTTTTTGAAATGTGAATATATCTTTTCTGAAATAGGTACAAAAAGCAAATTTATATAGAGAGCACTAAATGCAAAATAGGAGGTTTAACTGTATCTGTCTGTACATTTCATCTAGATGTCTCATCAAATTCATATATAGGTGTGATGTATGTGGTTGGACAGATATTATACAGGTAAATATATCATAAACTTTCCACTAACGAGCACACATTTCTTACCTGATTGTATTTCTTGGGACTGGTGCGATTGCTAGGTGGTTGATCATAGTGGTGTTGGGCCGACACACCTGGTGGTGAAGAAGGCATGTATCCTATGTGTTTACCTTGCCTCATATACCTGTAAATACAAAATGAGGATGCTACTGGTGAGACAATGCAGTTGTGTTTTCCAATTTCATTTCATACAGCCTAGATGTTAAACCAATATATTCTAGATATTTAGTGACTTTTGCGGCCAAAGTACATTTCCCTCTGACTACAAACTGCAAGAAACATCAAGTCATTTTCACAAAATCATGATTTATATTGTACAAGCAATCAATTATACCTCTGAAACAAACTGATTAACTGATAAATATATTCTATATCATATCACTTTTATGATTTCTTTATAACATGAATCAAATAATGATATTTCTGTGTGACACTGACCAAATCTATCAGAATAAGAAGGAAAATCATGCCTTTCAGCAGATATTATCCCTTTCAGACAGAAGGACAAGACTTCTTTATGCACGAAGCCTATGTCAGTATCAAAACACCTGCAATCTTTGACTAAATGGCCCACCTGTAGCCTGGAGCAAGATACATGACATCGCAGTGATGTCTCGTTTAAGATGCTGATCAATACTTGAGATACAAGTTTCAGATCCGTTATTGGTGACATAAATTACAGGTAAAATTTTAATAACCGGATATTTACAATGAGTATTGAAAATTTCCATAGGTCAATCGAGAAAGGTCAGGAGGGACGAAAGTGACGACAGCTGCACATTGTACGCCAAGCATCAGCAGACTCTCTTTATTAACTTTTTAACGTCCTCTGAAACACTATCAGCTGAGGAGTATTGTGCCATCTCTACATAAAGGATGTATTGATACATTGAAAATCTCGTCAATAAAACCCAAGGGAAACTGATGCGACATTTAAGGTATTGATACCTGGGGCATCTCGCTGATAAGGCAGATAAATGGTCCTCGTGTTTACAACAGGTAAATGCTCCAGTAACTGACTACAAGACTCGCTGGCCTGTATCAATCGTTTCCGCTAGTTATGGCTTTCTTCCTACTTATGGAGCACTTAGTTACAAAAGGTAGTGTTGACTCAGACGATGAGTATTTGTGCAGGTAGTGGAGATTACAACTATGCCTTGATTACAGGTAAATTTCATTCACCTGGATGGTTCACAAGGGTCTTATTGTCTAATCCAGTCAGACAGGTATCCTAGTGATATCAGTGATCCCATGCTAATAAATCATATTTATATAAACAATTCTTGTTTGAAAATTAATTTGTCTATGACAGAAAGACAACAAAGAACAGAATTGCTGTAGTTTACAAGCCAAAGCTCTGAAAATACTTCACAATGGCTTCTCATATGAGAGGCTGAAGAATTCTGATGTTGATCAGACAACGCAAAATCAGTGAAAAACGCCTCACGTCACATGCATTGTCTACAAAGGCTGCAATAATTTACAAACCTCATAAATATGGTTATGGGTTCTTTACAAACTTCACTTTGATGACAGCTAGGTAAATTTAGTACTGCTATGTATTATCATAACTCCATGCGAATTGTGCAACTCTGGAACTGACTGGGTGGTGAAAATCATTGTGATCAGACGCTGTTTGTGATTGCTGTTAATGAAATCAGTAGATGTAACGTCTGATAAGTTTTGTACAATTATTGTCACACACAATCTAATTGTCTTTCTCGGACGGTGGTCGTCGTCATACCCTCTAATCTTCATAGCTTTCATATGCTTGTCACATTCGTAATATGTTTCTTTAAATATGGATCTCATCAAAAACAATACCAGTTCATTACACTAATTCACTTAGACATTAAATGAGGCGTGAGAGAATATCATTGGCAGTTGAATTGAAAGAAATAGTGAAATTTGCCATAGTATGTTTCATATAAAGTCAAAAACATTCTCAATAGATATTCGTATTTCGTTTTTGTTCAAATATTAAAGGGTATCATTTAAAACCTTCATTTCAATCTTTCAAAAAGTAAACTTCTTAAAATAAAAGAAATTCTGACAAAAAAGAAACTCTTACGACTGGACCAGTGTTAGTAAACTGTCAAGTATTCTTAAGGAGTTCTTACTTGAAAGAAATGTATTTATACAATGTATTATTCTGTAAAAATAACTTGACACTAGCGTTTGGTACCAGCTGACACAACACTCGTGGTACCTGTACTAGGTAAACTGTCAGATCTCAGTATTAGATACCAACTAGCAGAATCATTTAAACTGGCAGCTCTTGGACATTGACAATGGAAGGTTTGTCACTATCTCGACACAAACTGTCAACAGGAAGTGTAACTCTACCATATGACACGACGACCGTCTACTGTGTCGTTATCTAAATCTGTTCAATTTGAAATCTGATTAAAATCAATTTCATACAAATTTAAATACTCATGCTAAATATAGCAATTAAAGGTTACGTGTTTGTGCTCGGAATTGATAACTGTTACAATTATTCTGAATTAAGGGCGTACATATGAGCTTACAAGAAACAACCTCTGTAAAGTGAGCACCTGTCTACAGTAACCACATGAACACCTTTGGAATCAGTATGATATTAACTATGATATGATCAATTTTACCAAACTCAAAATCAACATGCTTTAGTGAAGGAAGTGAAGACAAACTGAATTGATCGAAAATTGATGGAAGAGGGAAAAAACCTATAACAAATATTGCTTATGATTTCCTGTTTGTCTTATCAATTGTCTGGAGCTAGACAGCCATACCAATAAAATTTCATTCTTTTTTTAATCCAACTAATCTGATACAAATAAAGCCTGAAAAATTGTTTGACTCCATAAATATTCACATTTCGTCAGTACATCCACACAACTTCACTAAATCTCTTTCATCTTATGAATGTTAATGAAGGACATACACCCAAATTTCAAGGTCGACTTCCTGTCTGTGACATTTTATTTATTTAGCTAACGGACAACAAGTAAATAATGAAGCATTTTTTTTTAGATTTCAGACTCAATTGTAACTACAGCAAAAAACATGCTAATTTGTCCTGCAGGTAATTCGGAAATCTAACCCGAGATACACAAACTTCAGGTGCAAATCTCTACATTTTACCTGTACAAAGGAGTTAAATTTACCTGTTGGATCAAGGTATACAACAGCTGTATCAGTATTAGCATTATATTCTGTCTTTTTAAACAGTTTGAATTTTAATACAAACACAGTATAAAAACCTCTACAAAACACTGCATTCAATTTTCTCTCAATTCAGTTTTTTTTATATATATGTATATATATATACCGGAAAATGTACCATAAAAACTGCCTGTTGAGATAGCAAATAAATTCATCTGACAAGGTCTTAAGCTATAAATGCCAAAAACCATATTAGCCTTGCCATGATATAGACCCTTTTAAATGAGGATTACTTCACTCGACAATAACAGACTGCATGAAATAGGTTATGACTATTACAGTGAAAGAAAATTTAACGGGAAAAATCTACCTTGTTAAAATTTGAACTTAAAGCATTAACAGCTTGTTAGTAGAAAGACTGCCACATGTAACAAAAACCTGTCTGGGACAGGATATAACTTTAAAAATAAACTATCAAAAGAAAACTATAAATTTAACAAATTAAACATCCTTCCACTGAAAGACTATACTATTATATACTCTGTATTTGTGCATCAAGTGCCAAACAATTTGGACAAAATTCATAGACTTCCTTTATGTTATGAATTTTAATGTGTTGGTCGGAACATTTAGCAGAATTGGACAGGAATCAATCTATGGACCTATTTCAGTCACAGTGTCTGCTTCCCATCCAATTTTAAACATTGGCTATTAACCAGAAGGATGCAAATGCTTTTTTTCAAATCTGATTCAGATTGATCATAGAAAGTAGAAGTTACAGATCTAGAAAATATTTTCCGCCATCAAGAACAGTGAGAACATTTTTTTTCCCATAAAATTGGCAGGAACTGGCAGATATCGTAATCCAAGATAAAACAACAGAATATTTCTATCAAAGAGGAGAAAGTAATCAGGAATAATCTGAACAAATGTAAAATACAAAGATTTAACTGCAATCTCAAGTTACGTCTATCTTTGAAAAAAAATCATAACTTTTCCCCAAACTGACTTAATTAACCTAAGTCCTGTACCTTAGTGATCTGCATTCGTCTTCACTATCTATATAGGTTACAAAGTACATCTCCAAGTTCAAACTTTTACTTTAAATCCAGGATAGATCTAGAGATAAAGTTATGATGGGTTACTGGGAAGGATAGTTTATATCAGTTTAATCCTTTTGGCTTTATGTTACCAAGGAGACTTGTTCCAGTTTACCACAAGGATTTGTGGTAGTTTCTCATACACCCTTGCAGTATCAAACTTTTCTGTATGGTTCAATGACTCAGAGTATCATCAGTTCCTGTCCAAACAGCAATAAACAGTTTGACAGAAAATCATGCAATCTGTAATCCCTCCAACCTCCACACTTAATCAACTCCCTTTGACAAAAGGAGTATAACCTGTTAGGGGTTATCTCCCCTTGTCTGGAGATGTTGATGATGCTGATAAGGATTAAGGTCCTCTTGGTGTAGTTTGTGAGAGAAAATACAATTTAAACCACAATTCATGTGGACAAGATAGTTATGTCAAAAATATACAACCACCAAATCAAAGGAAACACAAACCTTTGAAATCCCTGTGTAAATTAGTGTGGACTGTTATGGAATACATTTTCAGATATCACATTTCTCATACATTATGTCTTAAAAGCCTTAAACGTGTGTAACAGAAATTTTACTTGTAAATAATGGAAATTAAAAGATAAGTAATTGGTGAAACAGTCACATTTAAGTTATTTTCAACTAGACCATACATTAATCATATATTGAGTTATCATATATTTTGGTTTAATCTGCCTTAAAACTGTCATTTTCTTACCTACTAGTTGACACACTTTTGCCTTATGGCATATGTGATAGAAAGGCGATTATTACTGACATTAAGAATATATAAACACCCTACCTGTATAAGTTGGTGTGGTCTGCACTAACGAGCATATAATCCCATCATATGCACCTCATATACCTGGTCAATACA